ATATATTTATATATAAAACTATACAAAATATTTGGCTTGTCGGGGTAGCGCAATCCTTGTGGAAATCTGAAATTTTTAAATGAAAATTCAAGGATTTCAATTTGCCTTGATTAAATAAATATTAATGCAGCAATTACATTTATTTATTTTGCAAATAAAGAAAGTTTTCACAGCCGTTGCATACAGAAATAGTATAAAATTTAAATTATGTAGATACTTGTAAATAATCAAAAAAGTACAAATACCATCAGCTCTTTTTCAAACTCTTATTTTACGTCAATCAAATAAAAAATCCTGTTAGCAAGTCATATTTGAGTTGAAGCCTACTTAATAGTATCTTTAAATAAAGCTCTAAATAATAGTCCTAAAACTACCTGCTTTTCGACTAAGCTCAGATACTCTCAGTGCAAGCGTATAATAAAATACCCATAAGCCGCAGCAGTAGCAGAAGCAGGAGCAGCAGCAGCAGCAGCAGCAAGAGCAGGAGTAGCAACAGCAGCAACAGCAAATGCCAGTGGTTGCCGTTGCAGTCAGTGACCCGAATGGGGGAGTGACAGACAAGAGCTGCTCCTAAAGTGTGGCCAATTATGTTTTTAAGGATCGTGCACTTTATGGACATGCGCTGGAATCTGTGGCAAAGCTTTTAGCAAAAAGAATATTTTATGCTCGACCTGCTTTATTATTTATTCCAGTTTAATGCTTACGTAGCTGACCTCAAGGCGGCAGCAATGAGACTTGATGAAGAATATTTAGTAGCCATTAGGCTGTCTGTGGCTGCCTCTTTAACGATCCATTAAATTGCATTATATTAAGTCTATTATAATAATCAAAATTGGATTAATCTTTCTCTGTGTGTGTGTGTGTGTGCTTGGATGTGTGCTTATGACTGCAACAGGATCAGGAAATTGAGGAAGCTGACGATGCATTTCATCGCTGGCTGACATCGACGGAACTCAATGTTGACAGCACAAAYACGCTCGACGATAGCTTGACAGCAGCAGCAGCATCAGAAGTAGAAGCAGAAGCAGCATCAGCATCAGCCGGAGCCGTCGGAGCAGCAGCATCAGTTGCCGTTGAGCAGCAGGAAACACCAGCATCAACAATAATCGATGATGTTGGCATTAACAAAAGCAACAGCAACAGCAACAGCAGCAGCAGCAGCAGCAACAGCAAAGACAATGGCAACAGGCACGGCAACAACATAGCTGACAATGCGGATGCAGTGTTCTTTCGTAGCTCCTACAATGATTACAGCAGTGAATTCAATGGCAGCGTTGTCAATATTGACATTACGCTAACTGCTGTCGATGTGCATCCACAGCGTCTACAACAACAGCAGCAGCAGCAGCACCAGCACCAGCAGCACCAGCACCAGCAGCAGCAGCGGCAGTTGCCCAAAGCGCAAACGGATTTAATTGCAAATGACAACCAAACGTCTGACGTGGGCGCAAGACAACAAACAACAATGCAACCAACAGCAGCAGCCACAACAGCAGCAGCAGCAGCAGCGGCAGCAACAGCAGCGCCGCGGGTGCCCATCACCAACAGCAGCGACGGCAGCAGGAGCAGCAGCAGCAATCAGTATGTGCCGCCCTACACGCTGACTACGATTATAACAACAGCGCCGCTGGCAACGGGGCGTATGTGCAATGTGCTTGGTAAGTTGACAAGAACAACAATAGCAACAGCAACAACAGCAATATAGACAACAACAACTAACGTAAGAACAACTCTGTCTCTCTCTCTTTCTCTCTCTTTCTCTCTCCACTCTGCTCCACTTGATTGCTGTTGCAGGCAAATTGTATAAAATTGGTGAAATTCTGCCACAGGACACTGGCAACTGTTTGCAGTGCATCTGCACGGATGCGGTGACACCTGATGAGCTGCCCAGCGTCACGTGCAGTCCGCACAACTGTCCGCCGCTCGTGCTGCCCGACCTCTTCGATGCGACTGGTTACTGAGGTTACGGGTTTGTGCTGTAAGTTGTGAATAAAACGAAAAAAAAAAAAAAACCGAAAATAAGCAAAAAAAAATTCAGAAAAATCTGGCAAACAAATATAAATTCAACTCAAATTACAATGCAATGCATACATATAGACACAAATTGAAACCAAAAATTCGAAATGAAATAAGGTAAAAAAAGCGAAAAATAATAATGAGGTAAAAACGAAATTAATACAAATTAATTGAATTTTAATTGCATTGGAATTAAACATGGGCATTCATTAAAATCTTCAACTGCAGCAGATAACTCATCTATAAAAACGAATTAAATATATATACACAGACACACGCGCACACACATGCACACTCACACAGACTACACAGATACCCAGTTGCTCTGTACTAGCGCAACAATTTATGGATTTCAATGTAAAGCCCTCCCTATCATGAGTGTAATGCACACTCACTAAAACAAATACGAGGAACCTATCAGCAACACTTACACACATTTACACTCGCACACACACACGCACATGCAGTCGTATGTGTATGTGCTAAGTGGAACAGATCAAATTGCTGAGAGCAAAGTCTAGTTTATAAGCTTAATGTTTATGCATTTTACACCCAACAAGAACAAATCTAGTCGAGCCAGATACAACATAAAACTCTGCCCACCCTCTCACTCTCTCTCTCTCTTTTCTCACTCAACCATTCATTCTCCCATACACAGCATGCAAATGAATGTATACACACCATTAGAATTTTAAAGAATTTATAGATGTACTTGAAAGCCCAACAGACGACACACATCTCAATACCAACSTATACACACTATGCTATATACCCACATATATAGAAATATATATATATATACATATACACTTAATACTAATCTATAAATATTTATTTTATCATAAGTATCATACATATATAATATACATATATATATCGGATAGGTACGTATACTCTGTATCCAAGTAAAGTCTAAAGTCTATTAAGCGTCAGCGCTATTAAATATTATACTGTTATTGATTAGGAATATTCATAAAAATATACTGATAAATATATATCTATATTCCTAATCAATAAACATATTTAATTCCTGATCAACATCTGCATTTTCATAAACCACGTTGCCTTTTGAGTCCTATCCGTTTGTCTGTTCGTAAGAGTTTGGAAAACATAGTGAGGCTAAGCAATAATGCATATATCCGATAACTTCTACATTTGGCTATCGATAATATAGGTTATTACTATAGCTAGTTTGAGGTATTTTAATGTTATTGGAAACCCGGATATGAAACATCAAAAATAGCGATTATTGATTACTTCTTTGATATAAATTATTGGACATCCGATAGTTTGATCATCGATATTTATCGATTGTTTGATTACAAATTCCTCTTTTCTCTATACTCTGTTTGTATATATTAAATGTATTGCAGTACTTTATGCACACTGGGTACAGGGTATCAGCTAGTCGGGCTCATTCGACTTGTAATACTCTCAACTTCATCACATTTGATTTACGATATATTTCTATAGGAGAAAAAAACCCATACCATATGGAAGCGTACTTTAAGCAACTATATCCATAACGTAAAAAACTGAACAATGACAAATAATGTATTACGTATCTGTATAATCAGTTGCAACTATGTAGTTTAAGATAGCAATTTTGATTTATTCGATTGCAATGTCAACTTTTTTGTATTGTTTAATTAATGATTTATAATTTCAAAGCTACTTGAACATATGATAAATACGTAATAATTTATAAAAAAAAAAAATAAAATATAAATAATTTAGAGTATTATATGAATAATATGTATAACGTTTTTAGAGAAGAAGAACACCATATCTCGTAGTATTATGAAACTTTTACGAAACGAAACTAATATCTAGACCTAAACTAACAATCATTTATGCTATTTAGTTATAGTTCAGCATTATTTCCACATCAAGCAAAGAAATAAAATTAAAACTATTTTAGGCGTGATAATTAATTCACTTTAAAAATGAAAAAAAAAAAAAAAATAAAATAAAAGTAATTAACTTAATTTAAGCATAAACGAAACTTGAACAAATATATACTTGAAAAGTAGAAAAACAAAAATGATAGATAAAACGTGAATAGGCACTTGAAATTTTATATAAAACAAAGAGGAAATCAAACATGAAAAACATTTGAACTTATTCAATGCATAAATAAATCAAAATGAATTCTTGTAAAAATCAACATAAATGTACTGAAAAAAGCAAACACAAAAACAAGTTTAATAAAAAATGCAAACAGAATAATTGAGAGATATCAGACAAAAAATAAACATAAAATTGAAATATAATAATTAAAATCGTGTACTCGTTATCCGTATTATAAAAAAAAAGAAACAACCAAAAATGTATACAAAATAAATATTTGCAAATATATCAAATATTGTATGTGTAAAGTAAATGTAATTGCAAAACAAATCTCTTAACTAATCTATTTACACACATATATATGTATGTATATGTATGCATATTTACAGGACTCACACACACACACGTATGTATCTGTATATGTATGTGTAGAACTCTTGTGTTTTGAGAACAAATCAAATTGACATAAATAAACCGAAACTATGATAAATCACACAGCTTTTATTATTTCACTTTTCCATTCGCTAATAGAAACTTGGGTAAAAATTTCGTTGGAACACTTTCTCATTAAATTTATTAAGATATATATGCAACTGGACTGGTTTACCACATATCGCCCACACGATAGGCTATAACAAATCGCTCTCGCTGCCCGACTCAAACCCCGAATCGTCCGCCTCGGCGTCCAGATTGATTGGCAGCGCAAGGTCACGGTTCAGCAACCCCATTTCTTGGCCCGCATGGCCGTGCAGCGTCACATTGGGGTTGCCGAATGCCGCCGCCGGCTGCTCCCAGCGCCGATAGTCCTGCAGTATCATCTGAACACGTCGATTCAACGGCCGTCGATTGTAACGCACCGTTAGCTGATTGTCGCCACTGCCGTCCATAATTTGGCTACGCGCTCTTTTCTCTCCACAGTTCAATTGCGTATTTTAATTTACAGATATATAGAATTTTTTTTTTTGGCTTTTTTTGTTTGTTTTTACTTTCGAATTTGATGTTGTTTAAACTTTGATGTCAAGTAAGGGGTTTATTTTTGCAGTCAAACCAGATATTGTTCCACTAACATTTTCGAATCTCAACTGGCATTTAAAACAAAACGGAAATGAATACGTCGAGCAGATTGACTGTTAATATGCTTGAATAAAGCATGAATCGACATTGGTTAGAGGGGCAGCCCAGGGGACAGAATAGCAGAGGAAGAGCGAAAGAGAGAGAGAGAGCGAGAGAGAGAGAGCAAGAGGGAGTAGAGAAAATACCAAAACTATAGCTCATATGCTGGACGCTTTATTAGATTTTTGGACCACAGCGCAATCAACGCGCTGCCAGCAACCACAAAGCACTTAACTATGTGTGTGCCACAAACACACACACACGTACACGCGTGCATACCTCCCTCTCTCCCACTCCCACTCTATTTATGTGTGTGTGCATGCGGAAACGGAAGCGAGTCAAAGCCTGTGTAAAGTGTTCAGCCTGGTTGACTGACCGCATAAAGCCATCTCCCATTGCCCATTGCCCATTGGTCTGATGTGGCCAAAGCCGAAACGCAGCCATTGGCCATGCACAGCTGGCCGAAAGTATTGCCATTGCCCCATAATGCTGCCACAGAGCCGCACAATGCTTTTTTGCTGTCAATTTGTGATAACGGCCAGCTTCATTTTGAAACAAGTAAGAAAACTCTAGTCGAGAGTGCTCGACTAGATACTACCCTGAACCCAACAAATAAAAATGCTCATTTAGTATGGCTGAAATTTCAATTTCAATGTATTTAAAAATATAAATAAAATACCAAACTCATTTAATAAAATATAAAAATATTTTGAAACAATTAAAAAAAATTAACATCAGTTGCATCGATCGGGATTCGAACCGCGACTCCTCGATCGAGCGTCACGCTGCTAACACACTAGGCCACCTCACTCCTGCTAGTGGCGCTGGCAAAACTCAAATAGATTCACTGCTGCAGCGCCATCTACCAAAACTAAACGAAACTAACTGCTGATGTGATTCTAAGAATCTGCTAGAATAACCAAACTATTAAAAACGCACATAAAGTATAGTTAAAATTTCAATTTCGGTGTATTTAAAAATATAAATTAAATAGAAAAC